TCCAAGTTTGATTATGTATTAGTAAGATATATTGAACATATACAATGGAGTTACCCAAATAGGTCGAATTACTGCATAAACATTAATATCGTTTCAAGGTATGTTCTTAACAGCATTTTTCTCACGATTTGAATTAATAGACTTACCACTGTTTGCCCTTATGTTTTTTTTTTTTTTTTTTTTTTTGTGACTATCAACATAATCACAATGCTATTAAGCATAATTATAAGGGCATAAAAAAATAGCAAATACACCTGACAACGGTAGCAAAATTTCTCACCAAATTGTTTACAAAGATAAGCCAATTAGAAAAAAAAAAAAAAGAAAAAAAAATTATAAAAGACATTTTAATTTAAATTCCAACATGAACAACGCTACTAATGGGAAATCTAACAATTGTTGACATATAATAAAAGAATTATGAATTAATCGACATGTACAAGATTCAAAACAATCGTTAAGGTAAACGTTTAAAAGCAAATATTTTCAATATATTTACTCTAAAGAAACGCAACGCAGACATATTAAGAACAATTATCCTCGAATGTATTTCCAGTGAAAATAAATCTATTTCTTAACCGTGAGAAATATTAGAGGATTCCGAGGTTCTGTTTCCTAAGACTATGTCAAGTAAAGATACATTTTTTTAGTGTCTAGAAAGGAAGTGAAACTACAAATGTTTTTGTAATTTTGTCTAGACGTCAAACTTCTCTGAGTCTACGAAAAAAAGCAAGCCACAGGTTTGTTAGTGTATAACTAGAGGCCAGTGAAGCTAAATTTTGATTTAGTTCAACAGTTTAAATTATTCGGACTTATAAGGAAAGTATTGAAACAGAAACTCATACCGACACTCGGAATCGGTGTCTTTTGAAACTGGTTAGCGGAACGAAACGAAATTTTGTGCGTTTCGTTAGGATGTTCATAAGGATGTAGCGTGCTTTTGTTACATCTTTAATGCCATAGGATGAATAGTCTCTTCCGAATTTATTGATTTCTTATGACCTTTGAGCTCGTTGATTTCTGTTGTGTTGTGATATCGAAAACGTTAAGCGATAGATACTGGATCCACTGACTGCTGAAATTAAAATTCGCTAGTGGTCGCTCGGAATGGTTTACTTGTTTTTCAACTATTTTTTACCTTAGCTTATTACGATGAAGTTGCAAATTTAAGATTGCAATGTGCGGTGATTTTACCTCGCTTTAATATTGCGCCGGGTAAGCCAAGGAGGTTGTTCGTGCTGTTTGGATTGTCTTTTAACTGCTCTTACATTAAACACAGCATTTTATTCGATACAACGCACTGACTGTCACACTTCCTCACTCGTGAAAGCTCTAAATTGAAAGATTTCACTGTGTCGATACGGTTCTCAAACGAAGACGGATAGCAAGTAACACCATTGGATCTCAAGAAGTAGTCATTTAACCTATCAGGGCAAACTTCGTACATTGGTCGACTCTTTCTCGCATCGAACTTCTTACAAAAACAACGTGTCTTCATACTCTTTATAACATTATGCACCCTATCCCTTATACACTCCATTACGGAGCTTAACTGCCTTTCTAACCACAGAAGAAAACCATGACGTCTTCGAGGAGCAAACCTCCCATTGAAACATTATTCCAGCCAATTCGAGTGGAGGACCATTTTAGGCGTTCTAAGTCCCTGTAACCAAAAGACGTCCGTTTAGCAGTGCCACGATTGATATCAATATGAATAATGAGAAACAATATCTCGTGGTCAGACATGCCACCTTGGAGAAATTGATCATAATATGTAACCAAAAGGCCATAAGGAACGCAAGAAACATCCAAACAGCCTGGCCTACAAAGAAGATAAAAGATTGTTGGCCATGAGTCAGCAAGTCTCAATCCCATGGATACAATTAAATCTCGTAATTGAGTGGCACGTAGATCATCTAGAGACAAATCAATATTTAAATCAACGCAGAGTACGATATTCTCGTAGGAAACAAAAATCTCAGCTAAAAACTTGTTGGTAAGTTGGACACGATTCACACAACGTAAAATGGTTAACGTCCAGACCTAACTTGAGTTCGTCACTGGATCGGATACAATTAATGCATTTGTCTTTTAGCTCCTTATCACATCCCTTCGCATCGTGCCTAGCATGGCACTTACAACATACCTCCCGGTTCTTACAGTCGTTAGCTTAATGACTAAAATCCCTGTGCTTGTAACCCACGACCACTTCAGATCCACCAAAAACGCGACACTTCTTCCAACCAACGCAGTATTAATCTCTACCACAGCAGTATAGCGTGTCCTACATCATCTAGAAGTGGCACAAGTCCTCACGATTGTAAGTGTACTACCGCGAAAAATAGGTTTTTGACTCTGTAGCTCTTCCAGGAGCTCATCATTCCCATAATTGAAACTGATATCATTTACTTTAATTCGAGGATCCATCGTGGTAGGAACTATAATGTTATAATCCTTACAAATAGTATTCTGAGTCCAAACTTTTTTCCTTTCCTCATCGTCATAGCAACCACTATGCCATTATTTCTGCTATGATGGTTTCAAATCCCCAATTTTTCAATTCATTGGGGTCCACATTTCAGGTCAAATCAGCCAAGTGAATCAACTTTTCAACTTCATTGACATTCATTTCCATTGTTTCATTCAGTTTACTGCTACATCCATTATGCTGCTCAACAAACATTTTAAAACACTTCAATTTCTGCTCGATCCGACTCTTAAAATCACCAAAATTTTCTTTTCCACATTATTTTCATTGTTCCTCAATGACATTTGGTCCTCAAAGTCCACAATACTATAGATCTTCTTTAACTGGAAGTCAACATTTTGGATATACGTCAGGCAATCGAGACCCATAAACCGCGCAAAATTATCATTCTCAAGCACCTTTAACGAGTACTGATCTAACTATTTGCAGCTAATCATGGTATAATACACCTTTTGCCAACTAATTCCATTATCAGTAAGCGTAGTCCAATGACATTTGGCACACATCGCTATGTCGAACACCTTACAAAGCACAAACGACGCGAGCAAGAACATCCGACAACCAGCGTTTAACCACCGGTTTAAGCAAACATTAAAATACACAATAATGCAACCATGGGCAACAAAAAAATGAAGCTAAAAACTACACGGAGTCGCAATATTGCAAAATTTGAATTTTATTGAAAAATTCGTTTCACTACGTTGACCGAAAGCAGGCAAATTATGATCACTACTATCCACAGAATAACTTTCGAAGAGTTTGTCTTGTTACTGTATTGCTGCCGAAATGAATTGCATAAAAACAAGTACACTGTTATTAGAAATAACGGACAAGATTTTCTTATTAGATAATGCCACCTGTATGCTATATGTATCCCATAAGATCTTCTCTTCAGAAAAAAAGCTTATCTGTTTCAGGTTTTGTGAATTACTGAGGAGTACTGCAATATCACAATAGCTACATCATTAGTCCGACTTTATCGATTGATCTGAACAATTGGGAGATTGTTAATCGAATCGAATGTTGTTCAATTAATAAAACAAATGTTGCCTTCAAACTGCACAGCCTAGACACTTTTGTGGTTGACGTTAAGTAGTTTTTCATTTCCAGCAAAGAAATCAAACTGCTATCGTCAGTGAGTGTGGCAATGGTGGTTACAAACAACAAATCGTAAAGGTATTAAAGGTGACTGCAAATAATGTTCTCTTTTTTCTCGTCCCGCTCAAAACTTAACCAAAGCTAATCAAGAACGCTTGGTGTGCTGCCTCAACTGGGTGGTAACACGTGTTGGTTTTTTGGTCGATTTGCCATTTGTGGAATTTCGTTTATCTCTATGCCCTGGCAAAGGCAAATCATAATTTAGACATATATGTTCAGGCATAAATGCAGGAATGTTGATGACGATGATGGCATAACACAACAACTGGGCCTAATTGCATTTCGTTTGTTGCTATCGTTGTATTGTTTGTAAATCGCTTTTAATGACAACACAGTAAATGACAACAACACTAACAAATATCTTAACAAAGAAAATGTATCGCATACTACTGCACATTGGAAAACAGTTGGTATGCATGCTATACAATTTTTTGTATTTTAACAAGGTTTATTATGTGCACAGATACACACCTATACTAACTAAGGAAACTCATGCCACCGTACAATGTAAGGAAACGTTAGATTTGTTATGACTGCCAGTAACGCGCTGAAAACATACTCATTTATTCGTTGTTTTCGTTTTCCAATATTTCAAAAGGTCTCAAGTTTCGATAGGCTTCTCGTCTATGTGCGTTTGTTCGTTGCCGTATGTGAAGAGATATTACTACCGCACATAAGCGCATGCAGTCATTACCAACGGCTGTTGTTGATAGCAAAATGGAGCTATGCTCCCAGTCATGTACACACCGATATATAAACCTATGTATACGCATTTGGTTACAGTTGTGGTATATACCCAACTTATGGTTGTATATGTGGCTCTGACTGTGGCTGGATAACTGTTGTATGCACATGCATATACTGTATGTGCGCCTGTCTTTGGCAACATATGTTGGCACGTGTCGTTTGCACAATACAATCAACGTATTATACTCATTGCAAGTTGTGTGTGTACATATGCTGTACACACACTTATAAAAGAAAACATATTACATACGAGTATTATTTTGTACAATATTATTATGGTTGTTGTTGTTGTTGGAATTCAATTAAAAATTGTGAATGACAGCAGGTGCAGTTGATTGCTTATTTCTTTGCTTCTCATCTTGCTGTTGCTATTACTGTTTCCACTACCAACGTTGTCGGTCGTGCGGTGTTGTGTTGTTGCTACTTAAACATTTGTTACGTTACGTTCACGTTAAAAGGTTGGCAAGCAATACTCTCATATATATATATATATATATATATATATATGCTGATATATAAGGCATATCACTCAGTAAACGAATTGTTTAAAATTTATTAATTTCTCTTCTTTTTTTTCCTTTTTTTTTTTTGTGCTTTATTTAATTACCATTCGAGGTCCTTCCTTCGTCATGTTCTCTTCCAGCGGCCATGTCAGCTACAAAATCTGAAATTCAATTCAATTTCCATAGAATTTTTTATAATTAAACAATTACATTGGAAGGCGTGTTCAGACGTTCGTTCACTCTACAGACGGTGTGCATTATACTCGCAGATTAGTGAGTGAGTGAGTGAGTGAGTGAGTTTCTGACAACTGCTTCAAATGGTGTTTTACGTTCTCTTTTAATTATATATTTTGCCGGTCAATTAAAAAACTTCGGCAATTGTGAAGACCTCTTGAACTCTTTTAAAAAGTCGAGATGGCCAGGAGCTTATCGTTGCTAACTCGAACTTAGCCACTTAGTCAGAGTCAAAGGCATCAAACGCTGATAGACAGGCCTTGTCCAAAGAACGCTATCAAAGTATTCTATGTGTTCTCTGATAGATTCAGGGCGTATCGGGAGTCAACTCTCGGCTGTGGTTCTACTCATATTGCGATAAGTCTGCCTATACTAAGGTACATATGGAACTTAGTGAGTCAACATTATTGCAACCATTTGCTTCGCTCAAGCTTCTTCTAGCTTTTTTACTCACACGTTCTACATCATAAGGTAAATAATATATTTATACAAACGCATAGAGAATACAATGGTCGCGGCGATGTAAACCTTTCAATTGGCTTCTAGCTAAAGATATATTCTGAAGCATTTTTGACTATCTGCAATACTTCCGCTTTGGATTGATCTCGAAATACGATATGAATTCCCGCGAGAACAGCAACAGATTTCTAGACGGAATGACACAGTAAATTGATGGTCTACCGATAGGCGAAAAGAGAGGATCAAAGATCTCGCTTTAAATGCTGAACCAAGGGAAAAATTTTAGGTGATGAAGTCTTCGTCGAAGATTTTTCTATTTTTCCACTCGTTTAGTGACAGTTTTCCCCTGACCGGTTTTTACTGTATCACGTCTACCAATCTCGCTGGTCTTTTGATCCACGTGATTTATAAAATATTATTGTAATAGTTAATAACTAACGTAGGTTCGCTTCATTTCCTATCAGTAGCCAGCGAAATTTTTTCTGCGAGTGAATAGCACAATTTCCATATATCAGAAATCGTATGTTTTCTCAAGCAAACGTAACCTGTATTGCTGTTATTATGTTTCTTGCTTCAAAGTAGCAGATATCTAATTAAAGCTTGGCGGTCTCAAACTGTAAATAGTTGGTGGCACACATAAGCATTATATTGCTTTTCTTATATCCTTCAAATCCCGGAGATTGGGTAAGAGTGCAAGTAATTTTTATTAATTTATACCATAGTTAAAACTTACATTTCTTTGTCTACACTTTTTAATGCTTTTATGACATTTAACTATGTTTTGCCGGTCTGCCGTTAGGCAACTCTAAATGCGATATCAGATGCAGAAAAATTCATTTCGTAAGATTTCTTTTTATACCCTACACAGCTTTTGATTCAAGGCTATAATGAGTTTTCGCGCGATGCATGCCACACCCAAAAGACGCTAAGATCGAGTCACTTTTTTTTTACACCGATCGATTCAGCATCACTTTCTGTACCGATCTAAAATTTTCTGTCTCTCTTGTTTTGTTTTACGTCGAACCTAGAGATCATAATCCTTAAGATATTTCGATGAAATTCGGTAAATGGGAAGTGTTTTGATCCAAGGATGAACATTATTAAAAATCGGTTCGGGCGGAACCAATTTTTCGACCACTTCCCAGATAACGACTTATTTTGAAAAGTCATTATGTGAGTAATAATATTAAGCAAAATGGCACAGAGCATCTAATGGTGAATCCCGTGGCATAAGATAATGCTTTTAGTTCTTTTCTTTTAGTCAATTATAGACAAAATATTAAAAGGCAGAATAAAAGTAAGAGTCAAGTAAGAGTTAGTCATATTTTTTTTGTCGCTCCTTTATAATAGGTGATGCTTACGTTTCTTATTGAGATGAGTTGATCGCCTTACAATATACTTATTTGTGCTTTGTTTGCTTATTTACGTAAGGTGTTGAAAAAACAAAAACAAAAAAACCGTTGCCGTTTAAAATTTTATGTGATTTGCCGATTTATACTACGTTTATAGGATAAATATGTTTATGTAAACCTTGTAGGTGAGATTTCGTATATGTTTTTGACAACAAGACTCACAAATTAAAAACAGAAGATACAACAAAATAATAACAACATCATCATCAATAATAACAACTGCTAAAATAATATGAGAAAAAGAAGAAAAAAAACAATGTGGAACAATACGCTGAAAGGATAAACATTGAAGCAATGAGAACAACAGAAATAAACGTAAAATGATTATAAATACAATAATAACAGAACGCAGCACATGTGGATGAAATAAAACCACCGTGAAAATGTTATATATATATATATATATATATGTATAGGGAAATGCGTGTGCTCGAGTTGCCAGACAACAACTGTCAAATTCCATTGGTAATGCTGGTCAAACACAATGCAAACGCATACTTTGATATACGTATGTGCACACACACAGATATACAATCGCACGTGCACATATCAACAACAACAACAACAACAACAGCAACGACAATGGCAACGACAATTAATACAAACGCACATATCGGCATGTGTTGAATGCATACACCGCTTCGCTGCCGTAAGTGACGCTTTATTGCACAGATGATGATTATTGTCACCATTAGTTGCAATGCCAGAAATCGCACAGCTTAACTATCAATAGTTCCGGTTCCGGCTTTTTGTCTGCTCTCGTCATTTTCGGCTCTTTTGTTACTCTGCCAATAATGTTCAGCCTGGCAAACATTAACATCAGCAGCAATAGCAATCATAACTGGCAAGCAGTCTGGCAATGAGAGGTCCTCTGTCTGAGTCTGTGTTCGCAATGCTTTACTTATGTGCGTCTTTATACTGCTTCCAACGGCAGTAGCTGCCTCTTACTGGCGTAAATTGGATAAAATTAAGCAATAAACAATCAAAAAGTGTGTGATCTAAAACACATACACACACACACACACACACACATGTGTGTAATGAACGTAACTGATTCATTGTTGCAGTCGTGAACAGAAACGTCTGTTAATAATTACGTAAATATTTATACATATCAGGCAACAGTCGTAAAAAATTGTTCAGAAAGAAATGTTTTCTGGCTTTTAACTAATTTGCGAAAAAAACATATGTCTGCATTTATGTTTGTTTTTTGTTTTTTGTTTTTTTTTTATTGTACTTTTTTTAGACTTTTTTTTTTTTCTTCTGTTTTTTTTACATTTACTACGAACGTACTGCGCATATGTCTGGCAGACTAATTTCGGCCCTTTTCCGTTTAAAAACAATTTATCATCAATTAATTGTCCAATTGCTCATCTGCCTGATAAAAATATTCGTCGGTTAAAACATATGTATGTACGTATCAAGGCAAGCGTGATAACATATGCGTTCAGTGTTATTTGACACCTGCGTAAATAATTTTTATTACGGAATGAGAAGACGTATCGGATGCCTACGCGTGATGTAAAAAATTAAAAACATTCATAAATTATTAGGGTTCATATATGACGCGAGAACTTTAATCCAAACTCTGACCGGCGAATACTTTTCGAGATATCGATCATTTGATGCGAGATATTTGAATTGAAATATTCGTACAATTGCACAGAGCTTAGATAGAGCTCATCATACTATCACCAGGTCTGCAACGTAATGAAACAGTAGGGCTTCCTGTAGGGCTTGGAAGCCTTAAGACGAAGAAAAGATCTTCTTGTATTTATGTGTGTAATAAGAAATGTATTCAAAATAACTATGGTAAGGCAAGACCAACCTTTAAATACCCTTTCAACTTAGCTATAAAAAATTACAGGTTTTTACTTGACATATCAAATGTTACACCTTGTTAGCAAGTTGAGATTGGCCTTCCATGAGAACAATACTGCACGGAAAGTAAAGTGATATGTAGTCCTTATCGAGCACAGTACATTTATATTTCAAATAGTACTGCGGGCGGTGCATTGGCAACCAGTCTTTACACTGATCACATTTAAGTTGTAGTTTTCGTCAAAAGTGTATATGAAACGGGCTTCGCAAAATTGTCCCATCCCAAGCGCTGCTTTTTTACCAATACATAGCGTTAGAACGAGATTTCCTCCAAAAATCGTCGGATTCAATTTGTGTTTTCCATAGGATACTTTTTTAAAAAGGGTGCCATATTTCATCAAAATATCGTGAAATTCTCCCCTCTTCTATATATTTCTTCTTCGATCTATTTTTTTTTTTTTTTTTTTTTTTTTTTGATTTATGGAACTATTGAAGTAACTGAAAAGCAAGGAAATGCAAAGTTAAATCTTTAGTTTGATGATTTGCAAGATAAGCTTCTTAGTGTTGCGATACAATTTTTCATAACTCGGCCATTGGACAAGTGCTGAACTATGAATCCTCATTTATTGATCGATTATAAATTTTCCTCAATGATTGCCTAGCCTCCTTGCCTTTTTAAATAAATTTGAAATGTAGTGTTTAGTGTCGGCCATAACATCTGTGTCTAGAGATAGCCTGTAAACAACTGTACATATCACTAAATGAGATCCACAACTTTTGTGGCTGTCTATCATTTTTTCTTTCTTAACAATCGATGCCATCTGCCCGAAAGTGTGTGCCCGTATTAGTGTGTATTGGTCTGATCAGTAGCAGCAACAGAGGGCTATATTTAACTTTAACCATGCAGCCTCGCATTGCTATTATCGATCGATCAAACTTTTTGAGATTGCCAATGGTTTTAAGAGACGACCATAATTATTTAATACATCGATCAATAATTCCCGGGATTAAGTAATAAGAAAAGTCTTTTTCTACTCGCTAGTTTCCTTATCGACACGACTTCCTTCATTGCTTCTATAACTTCAACGCCCTTTTACGAAACGTCAACACCTTCAAGACCAAGAAATAGGTTCAGAAATAGGAACAGATCCTATCATTCAACTCCGATCATTTTCTTTGCGGCGCTCTCTTGAGATTGGCAAGTAGTACTACAAGAGAGCAACTATCAGTATCTCATTATACATCTCATTATACATCATCGATGCTCGCACACGACGTCGGTTACAATCAGCCAACGATCGATAGGTTGTTGCTCTCAACGCGGGCAAATTGCCATAACGCTTCACGCCGACTTTGAAGAGTGTTTCCCAATGTTCAACGCAAGAAGTTCGCATTTTTCATTCTTTTGAACGCAACAGACGTCACTTCACTTATTTAAATGATCGAAATTTCACAAAATGCCAATAGAATTCGCTTGACGTTCAACGTATTTTGTTAACGACAACATCTATTTTGCCGGGAATTGTTAACCGATGTGTTATATTATATAGGTCGGCAGCATTTTTCAAATGTTTTTCTTCCTCTTTTTGCAAAGCGCAAACCTTGCAAATTTACTGACGCGGTTGTGTGTGCTTTTACTATCTTGAAATATTTTCATAATAAAATTTGCATAAAGACAAAATGTAAGTTAAATTTATTAATAAATAGCAAATGCTAAAATCGGGAAAAAAAAATCTGCTTGCATCTGGTTTTTCATTGCTGTTATTTGTCTTGTTGTTTAATATACATTCACTCTCAGTACCGTTTAAACAAATGTCAAAAATTATACACATACGCATATACATGCGCACATATATTTATAAAAAAAGAAAAAAAGAAAAAAAAAACACAAACCAGATTTCATATTTTACACATTGGATACATTAACAATAACAACAACAACAACCGAAATAACAATTTTTGTGGGGCGATTGTTTGCAGATGTTTATTTTTATTTTTTATTTATTTTTTTGTAAAATAAAAAAAAAATAAAAAAAATGCTCTCCAATGTGTCAAATTAAACGATAGAAAACATTTACGCATTCTCATGTACATCGTGAACACATATATATTCAGATTTTTATAATATGTACTCATTTTAAACACCAAGCGAAATATTTATTTTAACATGAAAATTCCACTTAAAAAAAAAATATATATATATATATTTTTTATTATATAGAGCCAGCCAATACATCAACATATATGTGTGTATGTATGTATATTTGTGTATATGAATATTACATAAATCTTTCGTTTTAAGAATAATATCATCATCGACTAATATCCACTACCACATTCTTTTGCTTCGAGTTATTAATCCTTTGGTATCATAGGGATAAAAAATTGCTCCTATTGCCATGAAAAGCCCTGAAAACTTGTTTAAAGCTATGAAAAAGCAAACTTCTCGAAATGTATATATATATACTACGTCGTGAAGTCTAAATTTATTGTTTTTTAGATTTGGATCCGCCTGAGTAGCCGAAGGGGAGGAATCTCGACTAGCAAGTCAATGGTCGTGGGTTCGAATCTCAAGTGCGGTAGAGTTTTTAATAAAAGCCGATAGCCTTAGATGCTAGTGCTTTTAAGAGTTTAGTCTTAGAATTTATTTCTCTGGCGAAATTAATAATAATAATAATAATAATAGATTTGGAAATAATGTATGTATAATGTTAGGAGACATTATTACATGAACCTTATCTTATTCATCTCTAAAATCAATGCTATAACATTCAGTTTAATCCGTGCATTTGTCTATTGTTTTGCGCATTTATTCACTGCATCGATTCAATTCTATATAGATCAAGTTTTGAAATGAAAATCAATTCTTTTTATTCCTATTTTTCGATGATTATTTACAAATCGGCTCCGCCTAAATGGCCGAAGGCGAGGAATCTCGACTAGCAACTCAATGGTCGAAGATTCGAATCTCAAATGCGATAGAGTTTTTAATAAAAGCCGATAGATAGCCTTAGATGCTAGGGCTTTAAGAGTTTAGTCTTAAAATTTATTTCTCTGGCGAAATTAATAATAATAATAATAATACTAATAATACAAATCGGAGGGTTAGTCGGCGAATATTACGGATATATCGTGCAACATAAAGGAATCGGACATATGCAGAAAGTCAGTTGCATGTTACATATTGTTGTTTCATTTACATAGTAGCAAATTTTACATAACACTAAGTGTAATAAATATTCACGATTGCTCTTAAGACACATTTTATTAAGGATTGAATGTATTCGATTGGTTTATTAAAGTGTAAAACACCGAAACTCAGCTAAAATTTACTTATGCTACTGCTAATCGTGAAAATGTAACAAGGAAGAGCGGAGTGTTTTTTAGAGACCTTCTGGAAGTCTTTAAGGTTCTCTAATTTTTGCTTAAAAAAAAAGTACGATTCAAGGGAAAATGTGCAAAGTTATAGTGTTCATAAATAATATTATTGGTTTATCATTTTGCGGTAGATGAGAGCAATGGGTCATATGACCGCAAAGTTTTAAATATTGTTTGTCGTTTCATATAAGACAGAGGAGGGAAGGAATACATGAAATACTCAAGCTAATAAATAAATGGATAAAGTCATTTTAAAGAGATTTGATTTCTTATTCGAAAATACTGAATGGAAAGATTAAAGCAGTTATGTGAAATTACCCTTTAATCAATCTTGTGATCACTTACCACGTATTCACTCATTCGCAGTAAAAGCAATCTTCTTGATTTATTATATTTATTGTGCAAATGTTTACGGTACGTTTTGAATATTTTTTTATAGGGCTTCTGATTGACAAAACAAATTTTTACTCATAAAATAGCAAATAAGAAAATTGTAGTCCGCTGTGGCCGAATCTTTTATACGCGATCATCATATTTTAAAGAAACAAACTAAGACAAAATGAATTAATCATCAATATTATATATAACGTTGGGTGGATGTGACCGACTTATGGTACAGGGCCTGGAGAATATATGCCTTAATTATCATTATATCGATTGTAATTAATTAGTAATAAGCAAAGCCGCCTTTTCGCCTTTGCAAATCTTAAGCGAAGAGAATGCTTATCGCAGGCATTACACAAGCGAACATGACTTAATCGAATCAGAAATGGATAGTAATCAACATAATATATATTTTGTAGCTTCAATGGAACTTGGTTTTGCATATCGATAGAATGAATATCATCCTTAGCTGGTGAAAACAAATGTATATGTATATGTATATGCGTATATCTATATCCATATCCGCATGAGTAGTAGTCGTGCAAACGAAGGGTCGCGACTAACAACTCTATAATCCCAAGTCTAAATCCCAAGAGCGGTAGAGTTTTCAACGCAGGCTGGGTTATGATCTAAGTTATCCGGCAGGCTTTAAATCTACACTTTGTAAATTTATTAACAAAATATAAAGACAAGTAAGTATATATATCCCGACATATTTCAATCTATCCTAGCATTTTGAAATGCTGAAACTGCTCTATCTGATGTTCAGAAAAATTTAAAACATTATTTGAGAACAGCAATGAAAACTTTACATGCCAAAGACCCTAGAAAAGGCGAAAATTTCAAGCGGCCCATTGTTTTTTTTCGACGGACTGTCCATTGTATGGAATAATTTGCTTGGTCTTACCAAGTTTCAAAAATTTTCTTTGTTAATCATGTACTAATTAGGCTTGAGACTATTCATTAAAACAAGCTAAAAAAAAAGGCAATAGATTTTATTAACACTGATACTCAGTGAGGAATCATGAAAGGCTTTATCGCAAGTAAAACGTATTGTTAATAACAAAGATTTCTGAATAAAACTCAAGACTTTCCTTGCAAGTCTTGGATGTGAAGACCTCAATGCTACAAAAGAATTGATGAAATTAGTTACTCTTAGTTAGTAAACGGTTACAATAAATAAGTGCCTGCAGTAGCCAGAAGTAAAGCCAGGAGATTAAGTAAAGGAAAGCAAATGACAAAATTTGGTTTCCCTACTAGCACGTGCTCTCATAGTTGCCAGGCCAAGAGCTAGAAGCATTTATTTTGTCAGCTTTTGCTTGACTCTATCTAAGATTACTTCCGTAGAAGGTGGTTTAGAAATTTTTTTGAAATACGAGAGATTAGGGCTGCATATCTCTGAAGACGCAATTTTTTTTACCCCACATATAATATATCTTTTCTCTTTATATCGTGTGTTTGTGTAGAAGTATATGTGCATATGGAAGAGTCAACTAAAAAGTCTATTTAACTTTTGAATTATTATTTACTTTTGTACTTACCATAGCTATCGAACTTTTGTTGTATGTTGTTTGCCTTAAATCTATTTTAGATCGTAATATTTATTTTATTTATCTTTGAAACTTGTTTCTTTTGATAAGCACCACCAAAACTCGGTCCACGAATAAATTAACATAATAGAATAGATTGCAAAACAAATCGCCAGATAATTGGAAAAATTTTGCACAATTATATATATATGTATATATATAATGCGACCTTTTTTACAGTATTTTTAATACCACATCAATGCTATCGTCCGTTACTCCGCTTGACTACTTCAGTTTCTTTTTCACTTTTCAACTGAGTTGAACATTATTATTGACATTATTTATTTATTTATTTATTTATTTATTTTTTACAGTTTGATTCCGAACATTAGAGCACTTTTAGCAAAAGGTAGCAGCAGCACGTGTTGTATTAGGACAAGAGCAACCTTGAATTTTCTCTTCAGACAAGTAGACGCACTTAAGTAAAGTGAAATTGCGGCAAACTGGTTTTTCATTTTCTCATCATTTTCTTTTACTTGCTTTGTTATTGTTATAATAGACTGTTTGTTTTTTTTTTTTTTTTTTTTTTTTTTTCTATATATGTATCATTTTCAAATATTATTCGCACAATCGTTCACAGGAAGCTTTTCTTTTTTTTTCTTTTTTTTTTTAATGTTTTAATTTATTTTTGTTTATTTATCTCTTCTTTTATTGCTTTTCTTCATTTTTTTCTTCAAGTCAAAGGCACGAACCACACAACCAGCCATGTGGACGTTTGCAAAGCAACTGAAACAACTGAATTTTATCCAGTGGAATTTCTTGAACTCATACGATACGTACGTTATGAATGTGAATGCATATATAGTATGCAAAAATTGTTGTTTACCTCACGGTACATACACGATACACATAAAAACCGAAATTGTTTCGTAAAACCGACCTACCCTCTAACAATCACCACCGCCACCAACCGCTCCAGATCACTGCTATATGAAGTGCGCTTTCTACTGTTTTGTTTGTTATAAAATGAACGCACGAAGAGAGTGATAGTTCATAGTTCAGAAACCGAACACATAATCTAACAAAAACTTCAACAAGAGCAACGTTTTGTTGTTATTCGGTCCTTATATATATATATATATATATATATATATATTTAATTTGTATTATTAGCTTTCCGTCAAGACGTGTTGCTGTTACAACAGCCAGTTGTTATATGCGAATTGCTAGCAGCAGACAATTCAAAACAAACGTAATTGCTTGATAACTCTCTGCCATCATCAATGTTATTTGCGGTCTCTTTCAAGATGAGATGCTCTTTGCCGACCTCTCTCGCAATAGCGTTTGCGCTGTATTACTGCAATATGCTGTAAAGGTAAAAAGAAAACAGCTGTTTTTTTTCTTTTCTTTTCTTTCTCTTTGGTATACATTCGGTGACACAAACGCTTCTTCCGTTCTACGAACGTTTGAGATGATGGTGTTGGTGTTATGGTGGTGGTGGTTTATCAACTTTTTGATAAATGCCTGTGGAACACTTTACGAAACTAAGACATTTTTCTCGCATTCCTTTCATAGCATTCTTTGCTCCTGCTACAAAACGCAGAATTGTAACACGTGCAAATTGTGTATATGTGTCCCCGCGTGCACACAAGTATGCAACATCAAACATTTGTTCTTTTCCGTTTATCCGGCAGCAGCAGCAACAGCAACAGAAACGGCATAAGAAAAAAAGAAACGGCAACAGCAACAGCAGCGGCATCAGCAGCCACGCAAATGCTTCTTGTCCTTTGCATATTGCTTACATCGTATTCTTTTTGCGTAGTATGTATGTATGTATATTGATCGGATAGCCTTTAGGTTTTTCCAATGTTCGAATATATATTTTTAACAGCCGGCGTTTTTTTTTTTTTTTAATATTTTTTTTGTGTTCTTCAATTTTGCATTTTTTTTTTTTTTTTTTTTTTTTCTTTTTTTCTCATTTTCTACAACAGTCTTGCTTTCGATTGCATTTTTGGTATATATGAGTTGAATTAAATTCAGCTGATTTTCTTGGTTGGTTGTTGCTGCATTACTGTTTGACTTGCATTGTTCAAGCATCAGCTGCTGTAGCTATTTAAAAGATGTCGCGACCCTGGACTCAAAACTGCTATTTCTCATCGCATCCGTGTGTTTGTGTAATGTTGTTTTTATAGAACACCTTGTGGTTATAATTATTTTATTAAATGCCATACAACCAATTGACAGATGTATTAGTTTAAATATAATTTTTTTTTTTGTTCCATTGTTTTGTTTTGTTTTTTCTCTTTTTCTCTTTTTAATTTTTTTTTTTTTTTTTTTTTACTAATAGATGTTAATTTGCTGTAAACGCCTTGTATGCAGATACTATATATTGAAATAATTTTTAAATTTTTTTGCGTTGATCTTTTATTGATACGGGTCCAAAAAAATATATAATAATTACTGTCAAGGTAAACAAATTGTTGTAAATAATTACTTAAACACCTGATATATTATAAAATAACTTTCTAAAGTACAAGTCCTACTACGAGGCAGATTGAGAATATATTTTTTATTTTCGTATTCTTTATTACATAATCAATCATTCGATACTGTTCTCATTCGGAGGAAAATTATTATATTCAGTAATAAAACTTTTAATCAAAATGTCTTCTTCAACCGCACAAATCAAGAGATATTTTAAGACGAAAGAACTATAACAGATAAATCAATTTATTCGATAACATCTTTTATATCACTACGTTAATCTGTTAATCTACATATGATGTGTAGGGTGTGCAAACATTTTAATAGCAATAAATTTAGATTTGACTTTAAACTAAATGCTTAATGAATAGTGTAAAGAGGTTGGATTTCCTCCCTAACGAAGGCATTTAGATGACATTGTGAAGAAAAGCCTTAAGAATTTTTATCACGTTTGTGCTTAAAAACTCCTTTCGTCTTTTTGACTCAACCACGCTGTCAGTATGCACCAGTGGTTTAAATAAATTTATAATCAGCTTCTGAATCGATACAAGCTTTTATGTCCGTCTGTCCGTCTTGTTTTTAATGCCACGTATTAACAAAACACGGGACGGACAAAGGCTGAGAAAAAAAAAAAGGAAGACCATTATGCAAAGACGAAATAGGAAGCAAGGAAGAAATGGGAAAGTAATAGTGAAAGACTTGGCTTTAAACTCGTCTGCCCGCTGTTGCTATGTAATATCAATATTAGGTACTAATCGTCAACTTTGCTGGAGAGAGAAGAACCTGCATTGCATTTGGTTTGGATTTTAACTCAACTTTTAGAAAGTGACGCAAATAAATCTCTACGCAATAAACTTAGCATTTCTAGTAGTTCTACTTATTCTATATTTAATTCGTAAAACTAATAGTTATTGCTTTCCCTGAGAAATTCGTACACTCTTCGACTTATTGTATTAAGTTTTTTTTAGATTCACTTACGAAACCCCATTTTAATGCCGCAGAATGCAATCGTTAATGTTTGGTGATCGAAATTTGTCCAGAGTACTGCTCTGACATACAAACTAACTTTATTAAATATCGTACCACATTAGTTCATTTTTCGGAACATTTCTCATATAAGGATTCTCATGAAAAGGATGCTTTATGTATATATATAGCAAAAATTCGAACGAATGTAATGCAATATAGGTAATGTATAGACAAGTAATATTTTAAATTTTATTGTTTCATAGGCATTATCTTATCGGAAGATTCCTTTTCATAATGTCATCTGAAAGAAGGCTATACGTGTAGGGTTTCTTTAGGCGTTTAGGCATTAGCTCCTTATATATATACAGTGGCATGTGTCCACAATATGGAATTATGTTTTTGACATAACCTTACATGTAAAATGCAATTCGAGTAATCATTTGCGAAAGATTATGAATGAAAGTTAAAAACTTACGTGTTTTCCTCATGCATTAAATGTCAAGTTAACTAACATGGGGACAACTACGAGACACACCTGCAATGAAACCGGATCTGCTTTCAAATGAAGAAATTTTAATAATTTCGCCTAAACCGTTGTTTCTCCGATTAACGCTAAGAGAGCAACCAGTTCAACAAATATTTATTAAAAGGTCTAACTAACTAATATAATGCAACAACAACACAGTTCAATTAATAAGATTTCTCAAAATGCTTTTTTAATAATTGTTACAATTTGACTTTAGTGTTCCTGCTTATGCCTTAAATTATGTTTTTTTTCTTTTCCGTCTTACTTTACGTGCAGTCAGCAGTTATAGCGAAAATGTTCGGTTGCTTGACTGGGTGCTGAGTATGATAGTCACAGGCAACAGCAAATACTAACAAAAATAACAGCTGAAAAGCAGAATCTAAACAGTTGTGCGGACAATTTATTTTTTATACGTGTGTTACACAACTGAACGTTTTCCCTTTTTTGCCTTTTTTTTTTTTTTATTCATTTCTAAAACACTACCTCTATGTATATTTAAATGTTTTTATAGAAAGCTGTCATTGGCATGGATTGTGCTCCATACTGGAGGAGTATGCTTTCTCTAACTATCAATGTTGTTACTTCTCTTCCCCCTCCAACCCCCCCAACCCCATTTCCCACCCTTTTTGTTGTTACTGCGGGCAAATCTCACCTAATGTTGTTTTTCATCATTTGCCGTCTGATGCTGCTGCATGCCTGACTGCCTTGGTCTGTATATTTCTCTTACCATTTTGCTGCCTGCTGTGGATGTGTAATATCTTTGTATTTCGACTTTTTACTGTGGTTATATGTATGAGTTTGTTTTTTACGTGCGTTTCGTATAAATTCATTTTTATGCGTTTACGTGTGTGCGTAAGTGTATTTTGCTGAGAGTTGTTAAAGTCAAGTACAAAAACGTGCAGTTGTGCCAACAAAGTTCAATTCATTTAAAATCGTAGCTTTATTCGGGCTGTGTAAAGTGTTAATATATGCATGTGTGTGTATGTTTTGCATGTATGCATACATGCGCATGTACGCATGTGTTTGTTAGTTTTGCTATTTGCCATAATTTGCTACTACGAAATTTTTTTCCATTACACAGTTGGCAGCACATTTTAAGCCTGCAAGTGCTGATGCTAGTAATTATGGATTTTCTTTTAAAAATTTTTATCACTCTTGCAAAATTTTAGAAAAAAAAAAAAATGTATTTTCTAAAGCAAATTTAAATTATAAACGAATGCCTTTTCTTCAACTTGTTTCTGTTCTTGTTTTTCATCGTTTCTCGCCAACTTTATGTTTTTTTTTTTTTTTCTTTTCACCTTTGCTGGACTTTTCTTTTTTCATTAGTTTTTTCTCGTCTCGCTAGTCTCTTATTGCCAAAATTTGTTATTGTCTTGCTAGTTTTGTCACTTCTTCCCACTAATTACTTGCTGTCTTCCCCGCGTGTTCGGTTCGCGATTATCTCTTCTTCTTGCTAGCTTTTTCTATATAATAACTGCTTGTCATTGATCTATTGGTCTGTCACTAGTCTGTTTCTTTTTCGCTGGACTTTCTTGTGGCTAGCCTTTCGGGTAGCTAGTCTTCTCGCCAGTATTTCTTGTCGCTAATCCCTCTGACCGC